AAATAACAAGTAGCACTATAAATCAATTATTTTATCCTTTAATACTCATTTCTTATTCAAAAATGTTAATTATATGAATTCAACATTCCAGAGAAATGCATAATATTATCCGCTGTTGGTGGCTTCAAAATAATATAAACAGACAGACAACCTTACAGTTGAAATATTATTATCTATAAACTATTTTACGTTAAGTGTAACAGGTGTAATAGCTGAACAATGCGAGCTTTGGTTTATATCTTCGGTCAGTCGGTGTCAGCTCAAGGATATTAAAGGTGCTACCATGTTGATAGGCTTAGCGGGGGAATGAATTACGATGAGGGATTATTATACTGACTGTTCATTTAAAATTAAAACTGCAATTGGACTGGTAGGCATGCAAAGCCGCATGTCCAAGTTTTGCCTCGGTCGCCAAAGATGGCTATCAGAAAAGGATTAAGAGGTGTTTTATAATGAGGTACATTATTAAAATGAGGTATATTAGTTTAAATTAACTTCTCAAAGATAGCTACGATAAAATAGAGGTATGTTGTAATGAGATATTATAGGGTAATGAGGTATGTTGTAACGAGGTATATTATAATGAGGTACATTATAAAATGAGGTATTTCATAGTAAATTTATTCGTCCCTCTTACGACTAAATTCTCAGCCTAACAAAAACACCAACTCGATGCCTCCTAAGAAAATAATCGTAAGCCACAAAATATCAATTTTGATTTTATAAGCATTTTATAATTACTAAAATACGTATTATCGAACCCGCGAACAAAAATTGCAATATCATTTAAAATAAAAGATTTTTCACACGTATTCAATCGTATGTAATCCACGCTCGCAACGTATACTATCGTAATGTCCTGTGCGATCGTCTACAGGGGAGAAGCGGTTTGGTTCACCGCTAGCAAGCGCATACTATTAGGTAAGTAGTAATTACAGTTTTCCTTTTGGTGTTGAAAATTGCCTTATATTTTGTTACTAGCTATTCAAAACTATAGTAATTAACACATACGATTATTTACGTTCCTTTTTTAAGCTAACAAAGTATCGTATGTTTTACATACCACGATAAACGTTGTCAATTAAATTTATTTTTTATCGTATGTAATACATACGATTATTAACGTGGTTTGTTTTCGTACGTTTGATATTGTATGTGCAATTTAATATTGTTTACGTTGGTAAATTGAGTATTTATTCCTATTGTAACGTTTAATTACGATTTTTTCGTCTTCGTTGTGGAGTTAAATTATATTTTATGTTTGTGTTTTTTTAATATTTTCAGATTCGCCATTGCCTGAAGGAGCTGATTTAATAGAAATCCAAGCATTTTCTAATTTGATCTCCAGTGATTTACTTAGTGATGAAGGTACTTCGATCCTACTAATATTATAAATGCGAAAGTTAGGATGTCTGGATATCAGGATGTCTGGAAATTTGTTACTCTTTCGCGCAAAAACTACCGAACAGATTTTGATGAAACTTTACAGTATTTTTGTTTATAACCCAGAATAACATAACATATAGGCTATAATTTATGACGATCTGTGACAAACTAAATTTCTTTAATTAGTGACATTTGTATGTATTTTTATAAGTAATCAATAATAGGTAAAAAGCTTTATAACTAAAAAAAGTAAATCTGAATCACTCTCAACATTATGATTAAAAGAATCTACAAGAAGATTGTGATAGAATTGGTGATGCACCGCTGGAATGACACCTCTAGGACAAAGGCTTACCAAGTATTTTTTTTAACTTTGGTTATAGGTAGCATATGGTTAAAAAGGGGGCAAACATCAGAGTAATCTTGCTGTCGTCGTCTCGTGTTAATTTTAGTAACAACAGTCATATATTGAGACTCATCCAAATGATATTCATAATGGAGTTTATTTGAACACAACATCACCGTTCAAGTTCTTAGTCCAATTTTTACAGCCTAAGATTGACTTAAAATCCAAAAATTTGGTATGATGCAACTCGATTACAGTATATGGTTTCCCATCTTGTTTAGCCCATCGTACCAATGAAAACCATTCTAAAGGAGTATAAATACATTTATTTTTGGCACATCTTTGAATCAAAGCATGATTAACTACAACCATGTACTGTAATCGAGTTGGATCATACCAAATTTTTGGATTTTAAGTCAACCTTAGGCTGTAAAAATTGGACCAAGAACTTGAAAGGTGATGTTGTGCAATGGATGAAAATAAAAAAAGTCAAGGTGCTTCCTTCTGAGCCAAATAAACTCCATTATAAATATCATTTGGATGAGTCTCAATATATGACTGTTGTTACTAAAACTAACACGAGAGGACGACAGCAAGATTACAAAAATACTTGGTAAGCCTTTGTACTAGTGGTGTCATTCCAGCGGTGCATCACCAATTCTATCACAATCTTCTTGTAGATTCTTCTAATCATAATGCTGAGACTGATTCAGATTAACTTTTTTTAGTTATAAAGTTTTTTACCTATTATTGATTACTTATAAAAAATTTACTGAATTATCATTAATTATTATTCATGTTACCTATTATATAGATTCCTTATGTGCAATTTTTGAATAATATTAGAGGCTTTAATAAGATTAAATACTATTTTTTTAAAGTAAGAACAATAACTTTTATTAAAGTAATAACACGATGTAACTTTGTTAATTGATTTTATCAAGTAAGAATAGATTTTGCTTATTTTAAGGTTAATAAAGAAGATAAATATTCCTTTTATCACTTTATAAATAAAACTTTTTAATTTAGTCGTAATTACTATGTTTCAAAAATAATCAATGTTTATTAGAAAACAATTTTTTTTATTTGATCTCGTCAGTTAATTACTTTTGATTTAATTATTTGTAATAACTTCACATTCTATGTTAATTTAAAATTATTTTAATTATATTTTCATAAGAAAGAAAGACTGTTATAACGTGATTCTTTGGTACAAATTAATAAATAAGGTATTTAAAACAGAGGTTTCATTTCAAGACTTTCATTGTGTTCAAATTGATTTTGTGAATCCTTTTGTCCAAAATAGATGAGTACCTAATTGAATAATTTAGTTTTAGCATGAATTTACAATTAAAAATTAATAAATATGTAACATACCTTCGACAGTATAAATGATTATGTTCCCGTACAATGGAGTATGTGGCTCTTACTATATATTTTACCTACAGCTAGACAAAGTAAATAATTGTATAGTTATGTTACGATTTCTATGACTAATTTTATCCGCCGTAAAACACCGTAACAACAATATCTCCAAAACTACAATATATTTACAAATAAATGTTATTGTATGAGAATACACCTTGTATCGACTATATGTTTTGAAAAAATCGTACCCCTAGCTCAAAAGATGGGAAAACTGCACACATAAATATCTTTAAATGGCTCTACTGTAAAGTTTGGTTTTAAGACATACGATAGTTTACTTAGGAGGCATCGAACTATCGCCGCACTATGACAGCAGGGGTCGTTAATCACGTCGTCCAGGTGATACAAGACGGCGATGCGGGCCATCACTCACACGATAAGGGATTATGATAGTGTGCGATCACTCCTCTATGATGTATGTGAGAGTATGAGGTGCGTGGCTGTCATTTTATACTTAGCTTATCAAAAATAGCGACGTTAAAAAGAGGTTTGTTGTAATGAGGTATAGGGTAATGAGGTATATTGTAATGAGGTATGATATAATGAGGTATATTATAAAAGTAAGGTATATTAGATTAAATTAATTCGTCCCTCTTACAACTAAAGTCTTAGCCTAACAAAAACACCAACTATCGCCGCACTATGACAGCGGGGGTCGTTAATCACGCCGTCCAGGTGATACAAGACGGCGATGCGGGCCATCACTCACACGATAAGGGATTATGATAGTGTGCGATCACTCCTCTATGATGTATGTGAGGGTATTAAGGTGCGTTCGGCGGATTATAATGAAATGGGACTGTATTAATGGAATGAGAACGTCTATTGTTACACGTTTGGAATGCTGGGATAATTAAGTGTGGGCTGTTATGTCAAAAATATATCTTTTACTAACTTACGGCCACGGCTTCTGCCGAGTTTTCGGTTTGTTACATTTATTTTATCCCACCCGTGTCTTTTTTTAAACCGGGATAAAAAACTATCCTATCTTCTTTCCTGATACAAAAGTTCATCTAGGTCGGTTTAGTGGTTTATGCGGTCAAGTATTTATTCTGTAAAAGTAAGAGAGAGATAAAAAAGCACCTACATTTTAATCAAGGGTAATAGGTAAATAATATTCTTCAATTTAGGTATTTAAATCATCACGTAAGTACAAACTAAAACATAACAAGCTAAACACTGCATTCTCTTATGTAGTTGTAATTGGGACGAATTTACAACAAAAATGCATAGTTTTATATGTTGTCGTCTGTAAATGTTTATTCAAGGAGTATAAATTACTTTCTTTGAAACGGTGTCAGCGGATAAGTGTCATTTGCTTTCTGTAAACAGCCACCTTAAGCAAAATACTTAATTTGCATTGTTATCTACGGTAATAAAACCTTGCAGTGCGATGATTAAAGTAACGAATGTAGGGTATTCTAGAGAAAAATAATGATACAAAAATACCTAACTTACGATACAAAGTTGCCTACATGATAAACATGATTTTGTGAAATACTGTCTTCTCTGTATTTTAAAGGTTAACTGAATGAGAATACCCTATTATGCCTTTAAGTCCGTTTTGTATGTTAATTTTGTGCAGTATGTCTCTACTTTAAGTTAGGTGGGCAGTTCCCGGTGAAGCTGGCATCCCCGGTCCACACAACGTATTCCGGCTCGTGGTCGCACTCGAGAACTTTTCAGCGGTCATCAGCTCTTCGAGTTTCTTCATTGTGAGCAAAAAAATGTTTCCCTTATCCTTATCATTAATTTCTTTCGCCACACCACGATGAACCGTAACGAGCACAACATTTTCGCCATCTCTATTTGTCACAGTACAAATACGGCGTGCAATAAATATAATTGAAGCGCGCGCGCACGTCACTCGTCGGTGTAACCTCGCCCGAGCAGCTGTGAACAATGAAGTGTTTTGTTGTTATGGTTTTCCTGTCTGTCATCGTTTATGGATGCGATGAGGATTACTGTAAGTTACTGTTAATTAATTTAATTAGTTTTAAGACAATCTTTTTTAAGAAAAACCCTGAAAATTCAGAAGGTTTTCATTTGGCTGTATAATTAGATTTTGATAGGCTTAGGCTGAGTTGCGCCACCTAACTTTGACCGTAACTATTATAATCGGTGTTTTTTGTATGGAGTTTAACAAATTTTTGAGTTTGTCAAAGTTAAAGTAAGATGGTGCAACCCAGCCTTAGAGTCAATGAAAGGGCAATTGATTTTGGGACCATGACGTCATAATATTATTATTATCATTGGCCAAACAAAATTTATGGGAGTCTTGTTTTGACGGCTCAAAATATAAAATTGTCTCTAACTGTAGCGGAGAATAATGTTGTGGCAGGCCTTTGTTCAAACGATCATTGCAAACGTTGTGATAGGGATAGATACATGCGATTTTTGGTTTTACGAAGGTAATACGATAGAGAATAATACAAAGTAATAAAAACCACAGGTTATAGGGGCATTTTTTTGAGAAATTTATCAAATAACCAAAAAAACACGAATTTAAAAGCAGATTTTTTTCAAAAAGTATAATTTTTTATTATTTGTTGGCCTTTTTTATGTATTTTATGTATTTTTTTAGTATTGCCTGTTATTTTGCATTATTACTGTTTTTATTTTATCAGGATATACAGCTTAGTTTAAAAGTTATTACGTTTTCTTTACAATAAGTAATTGGAAGAAAAAAAAATCTATAAAAAATTAAAAAAAAATCTCAAAAATTTTTGACCTCTTTTTTGTCGATAAAAATAGGTCTAGTTTCATCTATTTTCATATGTACACTTTAACGTGACTCACACTGTATACAAAAGGCAAATAGAGAATTTTGACTTACTACACTTTGCATACTGGCCAGCCTATTTTGGGATGATCCTATTGTCCCTTAGTCACCTCTTAGGATTCTTAACAAGGGAAAAGTGGGGGTGGTCCTATCCCTATCCCTATACTACTCATACTCTGTCGAAACACATAGCTAATGTCTCAATCCTGCTGCATGCGTAGATGTTGGCCTGAAGTAAAGCGCTTCTGTTACTAACTGTGAATAGATTTGAAAATTATAAATAACTTGAAAAATCGAACTGCCTAAGGCGGGAAGCGACCTTCCGCTTTCCGGGCGAATGCTCTTCAAACTGAGCTACTTAGACACTGGATGAACCTGTCGAAATCAATCGTCGTGGGTTCAATTCCCGCCTTAGGCAGTTCGATTTTTTCAAGTTATTTATAATTTTCAAATTAGTTTGAGATGCGACTCTTAACGCTAAAAATTAAATTACTATGTGAATAGATTTTTTTTTTATTTTGGGTAAATGGTGGGACCGCTAGTGGAAATTACCTCACGTCATTAATTTCACATTACCTTAATTTAATTTACCAACCAATGTCTAGCATTGCAAGTGCAACCAGTTTTTAGTAATCACAAGGTATTTAAAAATAAACAAGCAAACCAATAGTCATTTTATTTTGAGTTTATCATCACACACTGACCTACTAACGATGCAACAATGCATATTTACGCAAGACCGGTGTACGGTGCGCAAAAAAATACAAACATATTCAAAACAAGCTTTTGCCCACTGCTTCGCCCGCGTGAAACCATTATAAGTTATAGCCTATATTATGTAATTCTAATGTGAAAAAAATAACATTGTAAAGTCTCACCAAAATCCGTTCAGCAGTTTTTTCGTAAAAGAGTAACAAACATGCGTGTAATAAAGCACCTATTTATTGCGTTACAAAAACTTTCGCTTTTATAATATTATACCAGCTGTACCCCGCGGTGTTACCCGCAGTAAAGCATAGCCTATGTTAATCCAGGGTGTCAGCTAACTCCATACCGAATTTTATTAAAATTGCTCTAGCCGTTTAGACGTGAAGAAGTAACAAACATACACACTCACACTTAGTGTGATTAGTACACTACAAACATTCTAATATAGCAATATATATTATGTTCATCTCATATTAATATGATTCTGTTTTAGCTTTCCTTTGTTTAAGTTTAATTATCCATACTTTTTCAGATCTTGCCGAGTTTTCCTGGTTCCTATTTTATTCGTTCTTTCTTTGAAATCCATATTTTTAATTATCCTTTGAAGAGGATAAATGGATAGCTTTATTAATTTATTTAGTTAAAAAAATAAATACAGTATTTTTGAACAAAGAATTTAATAATGCAAAGATAATAATATGAATTACATAAAAAACATAGAACCAATATAACAGGGAGGGTCTTCCAGTGACTTGTCCCACTTTTAGCTTGATCCACGGATCCAATCACTGGATTGCATTTTTAACCCTCGCTGTACGAGGTGGGGTGTGACACACCCCAGTCCTTTAAAAATAGCCACAATTTTAAAAATTTTCAAGTGTTGAATTTGAAATTCTCAGTAGCTGGAATTATGACACTGCTGCTTCGATCAGCGTTGCAAAATCAGTCCAGCGGTGACTACCAACTGAGTTACATGCCTTTAAAGTGCGTGTGGGTGTCACACACCCCACCTGGTACGGGACGTTGTTAAAAAGTTTAAAAAAAATCTGACAGTTTTGGTGTAATTTATATATTTTTAGCTTTGTCAATTGAATAAAATTCAATACAAATAATATTTTTCGTGATTTTTACGGTATCTGAAATTTTCAAGCACTTTTAGTCAAATGAGATGACTTTTAGTGCGAATCTGGAAGTTTAGTACTGAGATCCGAAGATGTATGTGAACATACACTTATGGGCTACAATTTATACTTGGTGATACAATTTATGGGCTACTGAAATGGAATAACATATTTTATAAATAAATAAAATTGTTACGCTCCCATTTTATGCATTGAGCATACTCATTTTCTTTCATCAGAATTGTGGTAAATTGAAAACCGATGATCAAAACAAATTTATACCCTTCCAGTTTTTAATTTACTTTTAAATTATAAGTAAATACTTGTACTTTGTTAAATAAAAACGGTTGTCATAATTAAAGGCACTAATTAAAAATTATACATAGGAAACTGATTCCTAAATTACAAGAACAACGAAAATTATGTCTTTTTGTTATTTTTATGATAAAAATGTTATAATACATATTTTCAGCTCAGAGCATTTCTTAAACCTAATTAGCATACGTAAATAATCAATATTCAATATTAAATTCCACCTAAAAAAATGTTGAATGAAAATTTTATCACTTTGTATATTGGGGTGTGTCATACCCCACCTGGTACGGGACGTAACTTTTAGTCACCTCGTACACGGAGGGTTAAATATATTTTCTTCCAGGAACTGGCCCCATCTTCAATTTTTGTATTAAAAAATTTAATACACATCAACGAAAATCTACTTTTGAATCTTAGTGGGTCAAATTGCTGGAAGAAAAATTATCTAAAAATTCAATCAAGCGACTTGCCCAAACAAAGATAAAAATGGACAAATCGCTGGACTCCTAAAAGAATTTACATCAATGACTATTAGTATTTTAATTTTCTTTTTTTGCAGTCAGTACCTACAACATAATGTTATGTATTTGTACGGGTGTGAAGCACATCTTGTTTACTAATGACTAACGCGGGCTAATAGCTGATTAAGTAATCTTTAATTACACAAACACATAGCAAAATTATTATTTGTGTAATTTATATAATGGATATTCTTGGTATCTAACGATATTTGGTTCATAAATTGGATCATTTGTTATTGCAAAAAAATATTATAGTCTTTATTAACGTTTTCAATTTGTCAAAAATCAAATTTAATCAAAAATATTTAATTTGTTAACCATCAGAGAAGAATAGAGACACACCACTCTTCACTTGTATTTCGTAAGACAATATTATGCGAACATGAAATAAATAAATAAATAGTTTAGTTTAGTTAAGAGCGTTATAAGAACTTGTTATGCTCGAGTTTACATTATAGTAAATTAAACCTGCCCAACCTATAATATCTGGCCAGCATTGGGGAGTGTAGGCTAAATTATTTAATCCTCCTTTTACCTACCTTTGGTTAAAATTAGAGTCGTGCTCCAGTAGGTAGTGGAGACTGATCAATGACATTATGGTAAATTACCATAAAGTTCAAATGTCATTCAAAGGACTCATATTGTAACTCCTTAAATGCAACAATTTAACGTCTGCATTCACAAACGATGCTTGCTTAAGTGAAACAGAAAATCTAATGCACAGCGTTGAATAGAGCTCTGTGATTGGTTCGTGTGTAACCCTATGCGTCCACGCGCACTGTGAGACCTCATAGTAATGTTTGTGAATACGGGCGTAAGTTTCATAATTTTCTAATAGACCTTTTTTTCTTTAAATACTTTACCCACTATTATTAAAGTAATTTTGACACTATTTAGTCCGCAAACTCGACGCCATCACGCCTGAGGAGCCGTGTTCTCGCGCAGGCGGCATTTGCACCTTCGCGGAAGACTGTCCCCTGCTGACTGAGGAGTCAGGACTCTGTCCCAAGCAACGGAGTCAAGGAGTGGAGTGTTGTTATGGAGGTAAGTTTAGAGTAGAATGGAAAATTATATACTCGTAGTTTACCGACTTAAAACAGAGATCTCAATATTATGCGACACAAAACACTTCTTCTCTGCTCTTCACTCTGCTCCACTCTGCTCTGATGGATACCGGGCCTAAAACGAAGAGCAAATCAAAAATAAAATAAAGATTGGGCTGATCACCTTCCATCAGATGAGATGCAGGCCAAGAGGTTCTCCGTGGTGGGTTAAAAAAGCAGATTGATTTGCTGAAAGAACTATGTGTTGCAATTTTTTTTCATTCATTTTATCCAATTTTAGGCTTTTTGCTTTTTCCAAGTTTCATTTTAAATGAACAAATAATATTAAACCTTACTTATACTGTGTGTTTATCAGCTAATACGAGTAGTAGTAGAGTAGTATTTGTAGGTATAAAGCATTCAAGAAATACAATTCTAAAGAGTCTCCTTTATTTCAGTGTCGGTGAAAGATACAAGGTGTCAGAAACATGGTGGTTCTTGCACTCCATCAAACGTGCGCTGTGGCCCAACATACGCTAACGCGACGGACTGCGCAACTGGAGAACAATGTTGTATTTATGTTTAATAATACTATAATAGAGCCGATAGCACATCGATAAATACCGTTGCATTTTATTACAACCCGATTGAGTTAACTGCGCACCTGGCAGCTGTGACGTCACATCAACGTTCAGTGTGCTTACCATGAGTTTACGTTAGGTGTGCTCGCTAGCGACTGCGTAAAAAAATGACATTAATTGTATGACATATTGTGCAGCGCCCCTAGCGGCTACTTTCAAGAAACGAAATCTTCATAGAGATTTTTGACGTACTCGCTAGCGAGCACACCTAACGTAAACTCATGGTAGGTACACTGGTATGGACGGGCGAACGTAGAAAGGTGTGCGGTTGAGTGCGAGTGGATTCGCAATCCAGCGTGGTGCGCATTTAGCTCGATCGAGTTGTAGTAATACGCCCGTAGTCACAAACGATGCTTGCTTAAGTGAAGCAGCTTATCGAACGCACAACGTTAAATATAGCTCTGTGATTGATTCGTGTTTCACCCTGTGCGTCCACGCGCACTGTGCGACCTCATAGTAATGTTTGTGAATACGGGCGATAGATGTTTTTTTGCAACGACAATGACTATTTTGTGATGATTTGCTGACGAATGTTGTTAGGATAGTTTTATTCTGAATGAGGTTGTGAATATTTATATTTTGTTAGAATTTTTCACATTTCATAATAGGTTAAGAACATTTATTTTATTACCGCAAGACGATCAATTCTAAATTATTTATCTTTTTTTTATTTTTTAAGCCAAATCATTTATTATTTCTTAACTTTTTTCAAATTTAAGTATGATTTGTTATTTTGTTCAAAATATTATAATTTTCACATTATTACAAATTGATCTATGAGATCATTAGTCATTGTATCTCTTTTGTTTACTTTATACTGTTGTAAAAGTAATAAATAATTTATTTATTTTTTGTTTTGCGTTTCTGTACGTAGAATTAAGCACCCGAAGGAACTTAATAAATACCTATTCACACAAAAAGTTTCAGCATTGAACGCCAACCTGAAAGGACCATAATATTTATCAAAACCAAATTTTAATTAACTCTTAATTACTGGATTAATGATCAGCCTTAAAATATATTAAATTCGTAACAAAATTATAAAGCTGAAAACCTTTACAAAGGGCATCTTTGTAAAATTATGGAAGGTGGTTTTGTTAATAAATTGCGGTTAAGTAATTAATGTTTATTTTACATGCATCTTTTTTTTTTACTATGTTATAACATAAAAGGTAAGGTGAAACTTGTAAATTATAACAGCAGCATGACTTTAAAACTTATGGTGAGTTGAGGTCTCTAGAATCTAGAACAGATCGCTCCTGAGCGATAACTAGGGGAGAGTGGGGGAATTGCGGACGCTGAAGGGAAATAACGCACAACATTCGTACTATTAGTAATAATCAGATTTTCTTTATTAATTATTAATCTTTAGTTAAACATCTACAAAAACAGCTATACTTATTAAACGAGATCAATCAACAAATGGAATATTTTTAGCAAAAACAAAACCTTGTCTGTCCGTAATTACCCGCAGCGCTCGGGGTAAATTCGGACTAACGCTGGGTTAATTACGGACAGGTCCACATCACAGACAAAAACCACAAGTAAAGCCTTTAGAAGAACTTCCTGCAGTGCAGTTCTCATGTGCCCACTTGTTACACTTTAAACACCTAATCCAGTCTTCGGCGGGTGGATGAACGTAGTACTTTTCCTGACAATAAATGCAAAAGTAATCAACATTTCCTTCATTTTCAAAATAATTTAGATTTCTTACACCCTTTGATCCTTTTAGCTTATTAGATGTAGTTTTATTTTGTTTTTCTTGGGCTTTTCTTTTCTTGTCTAATTTCTTTTGTTCCTTTTCTTCTAGATTCTTTTTTTTCTGGTGTGCTGGTAAAAATGATGGAATGCTTTTTGTTTACTGCCCGTTTGTACCAGTTATTGGTAAATTTTTAAATAGTTTATCGAATTAGGGGTAATTGCAGACGTCCGTATTTACTAGAGATGGGCCGACTAGTCGCCGACTAGTCGGGAAAGCCGACTATTCGGCATCATTTGTAGTCGGCCGACTAGTGACGACTATTCGGCAAAATATGCCGATTATAATCGGCGCATTACAAAATTAAATATGTGAATGAAATAAAACTCATAATCACCAAAATGATTGGTCTACCAAGGGCGTTTATCTAAACCACTTTTGACTGCAAAAATTAGTCAAAAGTGGTTTCACCTGATTTCAATTTTTAGCAATCAGTCTAAATAATTCATACAAAGTTAAGATTAGTTAAAAATACCAGGAAATCATCACAAATGTGTAAAGTTTATGCAATTTGTCCAATCCAAAAATGTGACACTTTTCTTCGGGGAAAAAATGCATGAAATTGCATACCTACCTACCCTGCGGGGAAGTGGTAGATTATATGGGACTCCTCTCATCGGAAGGATGAGGAATACTCACATAAATAACCCCTGAGCTCCGTCGATCGCCTTAGTGTGAAGAACTATGGGAATCCGGACAAAGCCATCAACTATCACAGTCCGTCCCAGCAATTGCACACCTATATGGCGGGCCCTGCCTATCCGACGGCGTGGGGGTAGGTACACCCCCATGCCCTCAGCTCGCTGGCCATCACCGTGGAGGGTGGAGAAGAATCAGAGGGCCTCATTTTATAAATTTTTCCCATACATTTTGACGTCGATAAGAATATCACGGCGCGCATCCTAGCCCAGCAGGAGGCGATTATATTGTCACCTCCCCTTACCCCTCCGCCGTCGAAAATTATGACATCTACCTTAGGCTCGTTCGTTCGTTCGTTTCAGCCAAATGACGTCCACTGCTGGACAAAGGCCTCCCCCAAGGTTTTCCACAATGAACGGTCCTGCGCTGCCCGAATCCAGTTACCTACCGCTCGCTACCTTAGGTATTGTTAGGTTATTGTAATGTTGCATTTTATTTTTCTCATGTTAAAGAAATCTTATTTCTCAAGAAGTTAAATATCTCATAAGAAATCTAAATATTCTTATTTCTTTGAGAAATCTAGATATTATTCTTCGGACAAGTAGGTATTAGAATGATCGGCATTGCCGATTAGTCGGCCGACTAATCGGCAATTTGAAAACCGATTAGTCGGCTAGTCGGTTAGTCGGCAAAGACCATAGTCGGCCCATCACTAGTATTTACCCCGCAAGGCTTGTCCGCAATTAACCCAATTGGGTATTTTTAAATCAAAGAGATAAATTTGTAGGTTATGAAAACATTCCATAAAAAGAAACATTGGCGATTCAAACTTCATTGACAAAGCTATCAATAGATAATATAACTTTTTACCATCACTTAGTATTCAGACCAGTCCCTTAAATTAAAAAACACTAAAAATTAGATCAAAATACACATTTTTTTTTAATTTTACCTACCTTTCAAACTGTGCGCAGCCGGCTGTCGTAAGTTTTTGCGTGGCACTAAAATGGCAGAAAGAAACAGATGACAGCACCGGGCTGCCGCGGGGGGGAGGGATTGAGTAGGTACTTGCTAGTCCGTATTTACCCCGCGTCCGCAATTCCCCCATCCTCCCCGCCTAAATTGTATACCATATTTTTTTTGTATTTCTTGCAATTACCAGGCCTACTTAGATAAATAATACCTAATAGCGACGGACTTAATTTCGACACTGCTTTACGAAACGTTAAGTAATTAGACTACAAATGAAACTATTCCCGAGTATTTTTATTAGTACAGGTCTGTGAGCCTAGTGCAATAACTACTGCTGGTCCTTGTATTGTACCTAGTTTTTCATGAAAATGATAATTTTATTTTTTATATTTATTTATTCTTGATAAAATGTAGGTAAGTATCTATGTATTTTTTGTTTCAGAGGGCACGTCAAGCCTTCGACCTGATAGAGTCAGGATCAGAATGTCTAGTACGGTTCATGGACTCTGACATCGTAACAAAGATCTCAAGATAGAAAATATTATTTCAGATGATCATCATCATCATCTCAGCCACAGGACGTCCACTGCTGAACAAAGGCCTCCAATGCTTTCCATGTTGCCCGGTTTATTTGAGAAGATACTAGCGGCCGCCCGCGACTTCGCACGCGTGGATCCCGTTTTACCCCCTTCCCGCTTTTCTGTTGACATTTTTCCTGAATTTTCTTTGCTATAAACCTCACGGAGCCCGAGACCTTTCCAACGAATGCAAAACCGTGGAAATCGGTTCGTGCGTTCTGGAGTTATAGCGTCAGGGAGGAAAACCCGACTTATTTTTATATAGTAGATAAAGCGATATTTTTAACCGACTTCAACAAAAGGAGGAGTATCTTAATTCGGTTGGTTTTTTAATCAATCTTAATGACGAGTTACATATTTTAACTTGATCACAATTCACACTCTTCCCTAATGAAACCATGATAATAATATATCCTTTAGCGCCTTTGCTCAAGGCAAAAATATACTTAAGTAGATTACGAATACGGGGTAATACACTTGCGAGCAAAAGTATGGAATCACTTACATGAAGTTGTTTCCACGCGATCTTGTGTACAAACCAATTTGTTAATAACAAAAAAAGTAGCACCATTTTAAAGATTAAACTTTTAACTTTAAATTGATACCAAATTCATTTAAATCACACCAGTGTTTAAAAAGATATCCCGGCTGATGTAAAGAAGTAAGGAAAAAGACATGTATCAACTGTTTGATACGTCGCGAGTTGCGGCCTATTTACCCCCCTTATAAGCAAGTGTTTTCGGATTTTTGCTTTCACACGTTGATCCATACACATCTCCGCTTATTTTGACACTTTACCTGGGATTCTACACCTTCAGAAGCAGCACAAATCGTTGCACTATTGCAAGAAGGGCTCAGCCAGAGGGCTGTCGCACGTCAGCTCCACATAAGCCAGTCCTGGGTTTCGAAAGTTTTAAGACGCTTTCGGGAGACTGGTGGCTTTATCCCGAGACCAAGTTCTGAACATTGTCGGTGCACATCGCAGAGGGAAAACCGTTTTTTCATGTCAACTTCTCTACGAAATCGTCATTTGACTGGTATCGACGTCCAGCAAGAGCTCAGAAATGTTCGTAGGATAGCTGTTAGCAAGTGGACAGTTTGTCTAAGATATAAAC